ATTTTGTAAGTTTGTCCATTTACAAATAAATGAAGGGTCTATAATTTTTATCATAGGTGTATTTTAAATGATAGAGACAGAATATCAAGCAAAAATCCAGTAAAACACACATGTTATAAATTGAGTTGCAGTTCAGTGAGTAAATTAAGTATTTGATCCCCTACCAACAGGGGCGGACTGACCATTTGGAAAATCGGGTACTGCCCGAGGGCCTGGGATCAGTAGGGGGCCCCGTGAGATGCCCCTGGTAACTTTTTCATAGGCTTTTTTGAGTTTGGGCAAGGACACAGGGTCCCCATGATCCCCTATTGCCCGGGGGCCCCATGAGTTGTCAGTCTGCCCCTGCCTACCAACCAACAAAACTTCTGGCTCTCACAGACTGGCTATGTGCTCATGTGGTACACAGATTAGTCCTGTAAATTAAAGGTGCTCCTAAGGACAACTCGTATAAAAGACACCTGTCCACAGAATCTTTTTCTTGGGCACCACCAAAGGGCTGTCAAAGGACATCAGGGACAAAATTGTAGACCTGCTCAAGGCTGGAATGGGCTACAAGACCAACAGGAAGAAACTTGGTGAGAAGGAGACAACTGTTGGAGTGATTATTTGCAAATGGAAGAAATACAAAATAACCATCAATCACCCTTGGTCTAGAGCTCCATCAAAAAATGTGGCAAAAACACACTACATGCTTTTCTGCAGCATCTCCCATGATGTCTATAGAACCAAAAAATGCAACGTTTTACATTTTAAAATTCCCTGACCCTTTCCAAAAAACGCATTGGGTGAAAACGTGGAGATGTGAACCTGTCCCATAGGAAATCTTGTTAAATGGTCTGCTGTACGTTTCCGCAAAATGCTGCAGAAAATGCATAGGTGTGAACCTAGACTAAGGGCCAGTTCTCACTACAAAAATGCACTCCGGATGCATTCCGGATAAGTTTTGGCTTACAGTGCACACCACATGCAGTTCCAATGCAGTTTTGATGCAGTTTGCCATGTTCCAGTATGGTTCTGTGAAAAAAAAAATGCAGCATATTCTACTTTTTTTCTGCACCAGAAACTGACTGGAATTAACTGCACTGGTGTGAACCAGGGCCATTGGAATACATGGAAAATACTGTGCATGTATTTTTGATGCAGAAAAAAAGCACACTGAACTGCATCTAGTGTGAACTAGCAATGACCCTAGGTTCACATTTGTGCGGGTGATGCTGCTGTGGATTCGCACAAAAATCCATGCAGCCGCACCACCCGCATAGAGAAATGCTGGACCCGCGGGCAGGTGCCATTAGTTCTAATAGCACGCCGCCCGCACTGGAAAACGCAACCGTACTGGGAACCGAGGTTCCCGTGCGGGCTGCGTTTTACAAATTCAAATGAATGGGCTCTCGTGCCCGTGCAAAACGCGGCCCACACGGCCGCATATATGTGAACCGGGGGTAAAAGAGGACCTAACACCCACTTACATAATTCCCTATTAACACACTATTCTGGGGCAGAGCCACCTAGTGGCAGACTAGCTAACTGCATCTGCCTACAAGCTGATCCTGGCGTGTGCATCCATGCAGACAGACTGCTTTATCATCCATGTATCGAACCTGCATTGATGTACACTCCATCATGTGCTAGAACATCTATGCAGGTTAATGCTGTCGTAATAAAAAAAAAACCTTGCAGACACTATATCCCTTTATGTCATTTGAAAATATCTCCCCAAAATTGAGTTGTATTGGATACATGTACTACGACATTTGGGAAATGCAATGAGCCAGTCCCATCAATAGGATTTCTGAAGACATCCTGTACACAATGTACAAAACTCACAAGTTCTAGGTAAGCAAAATGTGATTATTTTTGCCTGTTTCCGAAAATCGTAGCTGGAAGCAAATTGAAAGAGAAAGGTCATTTCTGATAATATTCCATTACAAAATGACTTGCGCTGCAACAATACACGCCTTATCTGGAGTTTTCTTTTAGCCGCGTATCCTTAGTCAGCATCACATCTCCAAATAAATGAATGTTGAAGATCAAATTTTATCTGTAAGCAAACATAATGTTTATTGCGTATACATTTTCACATAAATAGAAGATTATGTGCGCTGTGATTTTCTCACTAAACAAGTATCAGTAGCTCGACAAACATTCAACATATTCTTTTAGCACAATGGACAATAGGCCTAATGTGTTTTGTAACAAGTAGCTCTTAACAGATGCAAGTTAATAAGTGTGAAATAAGCAAATGTATCACTTGTTATTTTCTATGTTATTTTTGGCAATCAAGTTTGCTGAGAAATACAATGTTTAATAGCAAATAAAAAGAAGAAAACCAAATATTATATCTATTATTTTCATGGTCTATGTTTGCAAAGTTGGCTTCAGAATGGATCATTTAGGCATAGGACATGGGTACTATATTAGGTTTATGTAGGTGGTGATGATCTGATGAGGCTTGGAAGTTGATTTTAACCACTTGCTTTCCAAGCGTATTCTGACACTTAAATGTCAAAATCAGATTTTTTTTTTTTGCTAGAAAATGTATTTGGAACCCCCAAATGTTATATTTTTTAAGCAGAGGCTTACAAAAATGGTGGGTGTTGCAATATTTTGGCATTTGCACAGTGGTTTTTCAAATGCCTTTTTAATACACTTTAATGGATTTTAAAAACGTGACATGTCACACTTTAAAATTGTGTATGCTGGTGGAATGGCGACAAACATCTGTATTTAAAAATCTCCATAGACAATGTTTTAAAAGCCTTTACATGCTACCAGTCTAGAGTTACAAACGAGGTCTGGTGCTAGAATGATTGCTCTTGCTATAGTGTTTTCGGTGATATCTCACATGTGTGGTGCGAATACCGTTTACATATGTGTGTGCACACTGCATGGACTGGGGGGGGCGTTATTTATTTATTTATTTTTGTAATTAATTTTTTTTTTACACTGTCTCATTTTTTTATATCACTTTTATGGCTATCACAAGAGGTGAACAACATCCCTTGTAATAACTGGAGCAGTGACAGGTGCTTTTTATGGAGAGATCTGAGGTCTATAAAACCCTAGATCCCTCCTCTGCCCTTCAAAGCATCAGATCAAACCAAGCTGATGCTTTCACAGGTCAGCAAACGTCTGTGTTCATTAGACGGAAACTGACAATTGATTCAGAGCGGAGAGGACATGGTGAAAACAACAGTTACTTCTTCATACCAGATAAAGCTGGCACCACTCTGGAGGCCGCTATCCGGGATAAGAGGTGGAGTGCAGTTGGTATCGCTCTGCATGGGACAGGATCCAGCACTACAGAGGAGGGCTCTTGGTGAGTCTAACCACCCACAGAGTCTCTTGAGAAGGAGAGGGAAGTTGCTGACATCTACGATCTATCCAGGGAGGAGTCCATACCAGGTTATAGAGGCCCCATAAGACGCTCCAGCTGACCTTCTGAGATATTGTGTTCTCAAATGCGCAATGAAATTGCGCATCTGGTGAGTGCGCAATTTTATTACTTGATTGTCACCAGAAGATCAAGGAAGGGATCACTCCTAATCCGATGTCTCACTATTAGACTTCACATTTGAGAATATATGTAGACTTTTGGCACCTTATGCACAAATCTTCCCTTTGTTGAGTGATTGGTTTTTTGTTATAATTATATATAGCTTTTTATCTCATTTCATATTATTATTGGATTGATATATACAAGGTATTTTACTATGTGATTCATATTGCTGGATAATTTTAATGATATTTATACAAGCGCTGCACCTTATTTTGTATTCTGAGTATGAGGTGCAACCTGGCGGCGTCGGACGGGCCAAAACATGATATCCCGGAGGTATTATATTTGATTTAGGTAAGACAAACATGGGGACCATTCAATGGTATCAGTTCCTTCATCCTCCAGGAACTGCCTGCATACCCCCACCACATGATGCTGGGCATTGTTGTGCACCAGGAGGAACCCAGGACCCACTGCACCAGCATAGGGTCTGACAATGGGTCCAAGGATTTAATTCGATACTTTATGGCAGTCAGGGTGCCATTGTCTAGCCTGTAGAGGTCTGTGCGTCTCTCCAGGGATATGCCTCCCCAGACCATCACTGGCCCACCACCAGAACGGTCATGCTGGATGATGTTACAGGCAGCAGAACATTCTCCATGGCTTCCGCAGACCCTTTCACATCTGTCACATGTGCTCAGGGTGAACTTGCTCTCATCTGTGAAAAACACAGGGTGCCAGTGGCGGACCTGCCAATTCTGGTGTTCAATGGCAAATGCCAATTAAGCTCTATGGTGCTGGGTAATGAGCACAGGGCCCACTAGAGGCCACCCTCATGTAGTCTGTTTCTAACTGTTTGGTCAGAGACATTCACACCAGTGGCCTGCTGGAGGTCATTTTGTAGGGCTCTGGCAGTGCTCATCCTGTTTCTCCTTGCACAAGCAGTAGATACTTGTCCTGCTGATGGGTTAAGGACCTTCTACGACTCTGTCCAGCTCTCCTAGAGTAACTGCCTGTCTCCTGGAATTTCCTCCATACTTCTGAGACTGTGCTGTGTTGGACTGCCTGTGCAACCTCTGTAGGATCCAGTTATCGCCTCATACTACCAGTAGTGACATTGACCCTAGCCAAATGCAAAACTAGTGAAAAACAGTCAGCAAAGATGAGTAGGGAAAAAAAATGTCAGTGGCCTCCACTTGTAAAACCACTCTTGTTTTGGGGGTCGTCTCATTGTTGTCCATCTAGTGCACCTGTTGTTAACATCAAAGCAGCTGAAACTGATTAACAACCCCCTCTGCTACTTAACTGACCAGATCAATTTCCAAGGAATTTAATTGACTTGATGCTATACTCTGATTAAAAAGTGTTCCTTTAATTTTTTTGAGTAGTATAGTGTACTATACTATTATAGTGTAGTATCTTTTACAATTCGGTACAAGCTTACTGGAAAAATCTCCTTTCGTGTTGTGAGTTCCAGGGGCGGACTGACAACTCATGGGGCCCCCGAGCAATAGGGGATCATGGGGCCCCAGTGTCCTTGCCCAAACTCAAAAAAGCCTATGAAAAAGGTACCAGGGCATCTCATGGGCCCCCCTACTGACCCCAGGCCCTCGGGCAGTGCCCGAGTTTCCAAAAGGTCAGTCCGCCCCTGGGGAGTTCTGACTCTCCGCTGGCCATCTCTTTTCCCAAGTTCCGGATTCCCCGCATGCTTTGCAGCTTCTTCTCTGCTGTTTACTTTCCATTTCTAAGGATTACTTATCCCATGGTAGCTTGCTGCCTGCAAACAGTGATTCCTGTACTGACTCCGCCTCCTGAAACTCCCCCTCTCAGAACCTCTGTAGTTCAGAAGGCAGGCTCTGTTAAATGTGTGCACAACAGTGACTACTCACAGGACATAGTGAATAGATGTCACAGAAATAATGGACGTAAATGTGTGGGGATCTTCACAAAGTCAAATTACAAATGTCAAGATTGTTCAGATCAATAAAAGTAGGCTAGAAATAACTGAAATGAAATGTGGAAATTAATATATGATTTTAAATTTTGACTATAGACATGTTTTAAAGTGATTTTAAACTCTCATTTTAAAGTACTTTCAGTAGCTAATTAAATCAGTCACTAAATATGCAGCTTAATCCTTGCATGTCTTCCATTTTGGCAGCTCTCATGATCTGTCCCAGGTTTCCTATTTTAGGGTGGGTGCTTTCTCTTGCAGCATCCTATGGAATCATATTTGCATGCAGGGGATAGAGATGTGTCTCCCTACACTGTGTTCATCAATAGAAACACACGGCCCCATAGCTTAGGATGACAAGTCACCACCTTGCTTCATACTCCCCCTCCCTTCTCCAAGCTAACAGACTGACTGAAGACAGCATCACCCACTGTTCACTCCTTAGACCAGAAGTTCAGGGAAGCAGCGCTGAGACAGCAGGAGCTAGCAGCATTGAAAGTTGTATACTGCAAGTTCTGGGATAAGAATTTTAACAAACAGTTTGCAGGGAATATTTCTTCTCAATGTGTTAAAGTGATACTAAACACACACCATTTAATTTACATTATCCCTTCTCTTCCTGTATATGGATGATAGCGCTGTAATTATTTTAATAGAAAAAATCTAACTACCCTTTTTTCCTAATGAATTTACAGCTGTCACATGACCCAGCTCTTTCCCAGCCTGTCTGCGGGGAAAGAGTGGCAGGAGGAGCTTCTATTCCTTTGCTGCTGGTCACATGTTAAACATTAAAAAAACAGCATTTGGGTTACAGAATAACAATAAATCTTTTAATAACCATAAACTGTTTTAAATTGTCATACTAATTTATATTTGAAATCAAATCTTTGTTATTTTTGGCAATTCACAATCTTTGTTATTTTTGGGTGGATTTCTGCCATTCACAGGCTGTGTCACACCCCATCCAGCCTATGTCTTAGAATTACAGGGAGGTGAAGCCCCCATCAATCAAGATGTAATATCCCCCCCCCCCCATTGTGTTTAGCTGTTTAGTGTGTATGAAGGAGGAGGGTGGCAGTGAGCTGTGTATACGCCCATATTTATGACTCCATTGTCACAACGGCTGCTCAAATGCGATAGGAAGGAAATGCTCAGGGTACAAAATTGATGAAAGCTGAGCATGTGCACTAGCTGCCAACACTGCTCTGCAAAATCCCCAACTGCAGTGGGGACATGGATTGGAGTGGGAGACAGTGAGCAGCATGTAGTACAATATTTATTGATAGTTTTTTAATGATGTGGGTTTAAATAACTGCTTCCACGCCGCCCTATAGCAGAAATACTACTACAGGGTGGCACAGGTGCATAAAATTATTATTATTATTACACAGGATTTATATAGCACCAACAGTTGCTCAGCGCTTTACAATAGAATGGGAGACAATACAGCAACAATACAGTTCAATACAAGAGGGAAAGGAGAGCCCTGCTCCTTGGAGCTTACAATCTAGGATCACGTATATATATATATATACGTGATTTTACAGTTTTGAGTAGGGGAAGTGCGCGCGCTGCTGTTCACGGCCTCAGCTGTCAATCACCGGGTCCCGGGGGATGATTTCTCGTCGTATCTCCGATGGGGGAGAGACCTGTGTATAAACAACTCAGATCTCTCCCCTGTCAACTCCTACACACTGCTTTGTATGGCTCTGCATAGCAGAGCCGTACAAAGCAGTGTGCTTACAGGGGAAAGCACTCACACAGCACACTGTGAAACAGCACACAGTTAACCTTTTGATCCCCCCACATGTTAACTCTTTCCTGCCCAGTGCCATTAGTACAGTGTCAATGCTTTTTATTAGCACTGATTGCTGTATTGTTGTCACTGGGGATGTCAGTGACACCAAGTCAGTTCCCCCCAGTGTCAGAATGCCCTCTGCAGTCCCATTCTAAGTCACTGTTTGCTGCCATTACTAGTAATAAAAAAAATTCCAGTATATATACACCGCCATTTGCAGATGCTATAACTTTCACTTAAACCAATTAATTTACACATATTGGGATTTTTTTTTTAGCAAAGACATGTCGCAGAATATATTTTGGCCTAAAGTTATGACAAAGTTAGATTTTTAAAAAATTTTTTACTGAACATGTTTTATAGCAAAAATTCCAAAATATTTTTTTCTCAAAACTGTCATTTTTTTTTTGTTTATAGCACAAAAAAATTAAAAACACACAGGCGATCAAATACCACCGAAAGAAAATCTCTATTTGGGGAAAAAATAATGCAGCGCCATATTGCAAAAAATGGCTTGGTCAGGAAGGGGGGTAAATCCTCTGGAGGGCGAGTGGTTAATGACACTTAAAATAAAAATTAAAAAAATACTGAGGGCGTAATACTACATTAAACTGAAGGAATCATACTAATTTTTGGATCATAATGAAATCATTCAAGGTACAAGTGTCTCTGCAACTAAAACATCCTTTACCAAACAACTGATGTCTTCTTCTTCTTATTATTATTATTATTACTGGTTTATGTAGTGTCATCATCACCTACAGTGTAAGTATGATAAAAATGGGGTAATTAATACAACTGCAATTTAGTGTAATTAGCACAATTGTAACAAAGATATTAACACTGCTTCCATAGATTTGCATTTTAAAATATGTTTAAACTAAGTACAAGAAAACAAGATGTGCCTCCTGTCCTAATATACTCAACCAGCGGCGGACTGACCATTTGGAAACTTGGGCACTGCCCGAGGGCCCAGGGTCAGTAGGGGCCCCATAAGATGCCCCTGGTACCTTTTTCATAGGCTTTTTTGAGTTTGGGCAAGGACACAGGGGCCCCATGACCCCCTATTGCCTGGGGGTCATGAGTTGTCAGTCTGCCCCTGTGCTCAACCATATCTGTGCAGTGGTCAAACCACCCAATGAGGGGGGTAGCCAGGCTGCTATGGATTATGTTGTGTAGATATTTGCTCAAGATTAACGAATTAGCAGGCAAATCAATCTGCTCTGTGGATTGGTAAGGAGGATTTTTGCACCTTTTTTTCATTTCATGAAAAAAAGCAGCTCATGTTCTATCCCGAAGCACTGTCTCTTCTCCATTAACTATCAAACTGAATAGGATTCACAGGAAATCTAGCGTTTATGGACTGGCAGAGTGTAATGAGTGATTATGGGGTGTATTCCCCATTACCTGTAATGTCACATCCCTCATACCACATTACCACACTTCCATATCTTGGAACTACTAAGGGGGGGCTCAGTGGGTTCACTAATTAGTTCTATTGTATTTCTGTCCTGAGTTCTGGAAATGTTTTTCAAAGAGGTCCAGTCTTTACAGTAATTCGTGATTGCACACAGGGGAGAAGTCACATTCTTGTCCTGAGTGCGGGAAATGTTTTTTCTTTAAATCTGAACTAGGCACACATCAACGATCTCACACTAGGGAGAAGCCACATTATCTGAGTGAGGGAATAGTTATTTACTGAGGTCTCATCTTTCTGCACCTAAGGGATCCCACACAACCCTGGAAGTGTATTAGTGCCTTGAGTGCGGGAAATGGTCTTCTAGATGAATGTTGCTGGACATCCCAGCTCTCATGTGGGGAAGAAGCACACCCTGATATATACCTCAGATATACTCCATGGCTGATCTTCATCATGGAAGAAACAGTTCATCCTAGATTGTAAGCTCCAAGGAACAGGGCCCTCCTATCCCTCTTGTATTGAACTGTATTGTTGCTGTATTGTCTCCAGTTATATTGTAAAGTGCTGAGCAAACTGTTGTCGCTATATAAATCCTGTATAATAATAATAATTGTAAACAGCCACCCAATGAAGCATCAGCTAAATCTCTAGGGGTGCAGATCTGCTGAGATTCCCTCATCCCTCTTCATCATCTCAAAGAACATAGAGTAGAAATGAGAAGGTAAAGCAACAAATCAGATATAAATGAAGTTTTAATATGTATCTTGTCATTTAGAGGAGGAAAAAACAGTGATTGGAGCATTAACTAAACATATACCAGGGCTGTGGATAAGGGAGTACCACCAGCCCCCATGTATGGGGCCCAAGTCAGCAGGGGGGCCCAGTCAACTGAGTGAATCTGATATGGGCAGGGGGGGGTGATTGGCATGGCAGGGGGGCAATTACTGGAAATGATCCCCTGTATGACTCTCTCTGTAGCAGCTGAAAGCTGGCTTCTTCTCCTCTCCCTGCCACTGACTCTCAGCTGCTGCAGAGAGAGCCATACAGGGGATTGGTTCCAGTAATTGGCCACCTGCCGCACCCATCACCCTCCCTGTACACCATACGTTTCCCTCCTGCTGCCCAGGTCCCCCTGTGTGCCCACCCCTGCCGGTTTCTCTCCTCTCCTTTCAATAGGCAACTGCAAGCACACAATAGGATCCTGAATGGAGAGTGGGGAAAGGGACCAGTAAATATGTTATGTTTACTAGCTCCTTCCTTTCCTGAATGAACACAACAAGTGATCAGTACTAATCACTTACTGTGTTCATCCATAACTGACACATAGTAAACTTAGTTTTTTTTTTGGGGGGGGGGCTGTCAGGTTGGCTGTATGGGGCTCCGTGGTTTCTAACAG